TTTATGTGTGTGTGTGTGTGTGCATGCATGTACAGCAAATACCTCTGTTTTCTTCCCTCTCTTATTCCTTTACGTATTATAAAATATAAGATGTAAATAGACTAGTGTGTTCTTGGTTGTATATATGTTAGTTGTATCGTGTTAGGTGCAAGTATGACTTTATAATTGTCTTTATTTAGAGATTGTGTGTGGTTTGAGGAGATGTGTACAGATGGGAAGTTGACAAGTGGTGGAACATGATGGTTAGGGTTATGTGTCAACTAGGTAAGCCAAGATTTTCAGTGGTTCAGCAGATATAATGCAATCACCACCCATTATGTGATCTGATGTGAGCAGGCAATCATTTGAAAGGAGAGTTCCCTTAGGGTGTTGCCTGCATCTAATATATATGACTGTTCTGGCAAAGCTCGCCTTTTCTCAATTCTGCACCCGATTTATCATCCTCTGACCCTTGGATCTTGGGACATGAACCAGCAGCCTGCCATTTTACCTGCAGATTTTGGGAGTTGCCAGCTTCCACAGCCCCGTGAGTCAGGAGCCTGCCATCTGACATGTTGAATTTGGGTTCATCAGGCTCTGCAACCATGGGAGTCAGGAGAAGCCTGCAGCCTGAGGTTTTACCCATGGACTTGGGACTTGCCAGCTTCTACAACTGCATGAGCCATTTCCTTGAAATAAATCTCTCTCCATATATATATTTATATACATATATTCATGTTTCAGTGGTTTTGCTCATCTCAAGAACCCAGTCTAAGACAAAATGTTAAGCAAAAGATCTTATTAAAGGTTACAAAAGAGTGTTGCCACTGTTTCTTTTCTCATATTTGGGCCTCATTCAAAACAAGTGGTATAAAATGCATGGAAACCACAAGTGATTCCCTCTAAGCTTATATAAACCCAAGTTAAAAAAAAATGCAATGGGATTATGAGTGGAATGTCAAAGCCTCACTGTTTTTGCACACTTGTACAAATTAACATTTCTTTGGGGTACTGAGGTTTTCTGTTAGTCTTATTCCCCGCCTTGTTCTTTGTGGTTCTCTCAAGATGAACATTTGGAATATCTTTGAAGCTTGATTAGGGCATGACCAAATCCGTAATTTGCAAGTTAAAACTAACCATTATAGTCAGGCTTCAAAATGCAAGGGTGGACCAAGGATTAAAATCTTAATGCTTTCCCTGTAATTTGAGTGAGGTTAGAGTCCAGCTATCTTACAAAGAGATGAAACAGGACTGGCCTTCCAAAGATGCTTTATATTTTGGGTACAGAATCACTACAAAGGTGAGATACACCCAATTAGAATTGGTAAAATATGTAAATCTCCGCCTGCTAAACTGGCAGAGATTAATGTCTGAATAGGCATAGGAAGTGCCAACTGTAAAATTATACAGGGCATGGAGATTACCCCATCCGCATAATGGGGCTTGATTTAGCTGCTCTATTTTGGGATCACACATAAAGCGCCCAACGCAGAAAGCTGAGCTTTGTTTAATTTGTCCAGGGCACTGCCCGAATTTTCTACAACACTATTCACTTTGCTGCTTTAAGAATGAATAACACATTTCCTTTATGGAACTCTGTGCATCTTTGATTTGCAAGCAGCAGCTTTCCCAAGCTCCTCTCACACTCCCTTTTTGTGAACCTTCTGATAGTGCTGTTTGATTATTTTTAGGGTGTGTTGTCTTCGTTGCATCTTTTTTGTCCAGGCGAAGATCAGGCAATACCGTATTTAGCATGGCATCATGGCTTGGTGCTTGTCTACTAAGCTAAAGGTTGTCAGTTTCAACCCATTCAGCAGCACCACGGAAGAAAGGCCTCATGATCTGCTTCCGTAAAGATTACAGCCAAGTTAACCCTATGGAGTAGTTCTACTCTCTGCTCTACTCTGTTAGTTGCTGTTAGTTCAATCGACTCGACGACAGCCGGTTGGATTTTTTGTTTTATGATTTTAAAGTTGACAGATGACAGAGCTTAGGCCCAGGAGGGACAAGGTCATCAGCCCTAGGCCATCGTAATCCAGGCAAAAGCACTTGTTATAAGAATTGGGCATGCTTCCAGCTGTAGTCTTTGACTGTCTCTTGAGACTTGGAATTCATCTCGTTTTGGCAATAGCACACGGTGGCTTTGTTTCACACAGGAGAACCTGGGCATGATAATATCTGCTTTAGCCCCCAAACCAAACTCACTGCCATTGAGTCCATTCCAGTTGCTACAGAGCCCAGGGGATGGGCTAGAAGTGTTCCATTGGGTTTACAAGTCTGTAAATTTTTTTTGTTGTTGTTTAATAAATTGTGATTTGAGTGAAAGTGTACAGAGCAAATTCGTTTTCCATTCAATAATCTGCACACATTCTGTTTTGTGACATTTACTGCCATCCACACTATAACAGCTTCTTCCTACCTCCTTCCTCTGCCCACCTCTTCCCTTCTTTCTTCTTCCCATCTTCCGAGTTCTGTCTCTGAGGAAATGCTGTCCTCTTGGTGTCATAGGCTTGATCGCTGTAGTGAGTGCATACCCTCCTGAGATTACTGTTCATAGTATGGGCCCATCATTGGCTGCTAGTTGAGTCATAGGGGTTCAGTTCAGTTCCTCGCTTGAAGGCTGTTTAGGGCCATAGGCTCAGAGGTTCCACCAGCCTTCATCAGATCAGCAAGACTGACTTTTTTTTATTTTTAATGATTTTCAGTTTTGTTCCACATTTTCCTCCATTCTTTCTGGGACCTCTTACTGTGATCCCTTTTAGAGTGGTCAGCAGTGGTAGCTGGGCACCATATAGTTCTTATGGTCTCAGGGCCATGGAAGCTGGGGTATACCTGCTCCATAAGTCTTTGGACTGTTTCCTGCATCTTTGATTTTCTTCACTCCTCTTTGCTCTACAAAGGGAGGAAGCAATAGTTGCACTCTTTTAAGACCCTTGTTGCTACTCACCAAAGTAAGATAGAACACTGTCTTTGTGGACTGTGTTATGCCAGTTGACCTTCGTGTCCCCTGAGACTATGATCCTTAGCCTCCGTACCCAGTGACTCCTTCCCTCAGTGACTAAGATGTTTGCATAACTTTGTATCCTGTGTGCTCTACTACATTTGTGGATATATTTGCAGCAGGTATAAATATATAGGTAGAGACAGTCAAGTCTATAAATCTGTATGGAAGCAAACTGGTGCATCTTTCTGCCCTGGAGAGGCTGGTGGGTTTGAACAGTTGATCTTTTGATTAGCAGCCAAATTCTTTAACCACTGTGCTGCCAGAGCACCATTCCTATCTGTTTTAGATGATTATTTAGTTTTTGATCATTAGGGCTCAGGCTATTCCAATAACTAAGTGTATGATTCATTATTATTTTTAAACATAATGTTATCATGCATTTCTATAGTTTAAAACTTACAAAGTCATTTAAAATGTTTTGCTGGTGGCTCCATTTTATTTTCATAGATGATCTTTCATTGCAGAAGTCATTTAGTTGGAAACGTTTGACACATAACTCCCACTTGCTTAAGCATAAGGAAGGGCATGTATTGGTTCACATTCTTGGCAAATTTGTGGGTGGATCTGAGTGAGCCACAGCTGGGCCCATGGACCAAACAAGGTCAATCTGTGTCTCTCCATTTCTTAACTTTGGTCTTGTTCTCCAACTGGCCTTTGTGGACAAGGAGGACAGCAGTAGCTCTGAACTTATATTACCCAAGCCTATGAACACCCTATCTGAATCTTCCAGAAGGATCGGTTTGGCCAGTCTTCAGTTTCCTGTGAATCAGATCCTTTGGCCAGGGCCATGAGACATGACAGACCTTGATGGTCATTCTGTGTCATGCGTTGTTTCCCAATGGCAGAGGATGGGAACTATGACGGACAACCACATTCTGTGGGGTGGCACATAGGAAGAGGGGGATGGGGGAGTGCTCTTATCAGAAACCACTCCAACCGTCACACTTGTACCACTGAAGACATGCAAGAACAGCTCAGCGATACATAAAATGTTAATTTGCCATAAAAAGATGTGTTCTTGCAGATTCAGTGATTCATCAAATAATCTGTATTTTATTTCCCTCTTTGGCTTCAGACTTTCACAGTAGGTGGAAAAACACAAAAAGGAAGAGGATTTTTTTTCATAAAAAAGGAATCATTTTTCTGTATTTCACTTTAAAATATTGTCTTAGCCTCCTCTCTTTGGCTCTCCTAAAGAGCTTCTCATGCAGATGTGCAGTTGTCATTTGACTTCAGTCTCCATTGGCCACATGATGCCCTTTCAGGCAGCACTGACATTTCATTTTTGGTCCAGCTGTGCCTACCACAGTGTCTGGCTGGAGGTCTGAACTTGGCAAATGTGGATAGACTAAATGGGCTGACAGATGTGTTCATGTGCCCGCCTGGCTGCAGAGACCAGGGCTCTGAAGAGTGAAGTAGCTGACCCGTTGTGTTGCAGTTGGAAATTGAACTCCGTTATCTTCACATCCCCAATTTAGGCTCCTTTTTCTCCTGTTAATTTCTTTTGCTTGGCTGGGGAGCCAAGTAAAATCATGGGGGAGGTATGTATGCCAGTCCACAACTCCAGTCTATGTTTAGTGACTGAACTAATGATTACGACATTTGCTCTGACAGTAATGATGACGAGGAAGCAAGACACGTATTTTAAAGGGGAGTTATCTCAGGAAATCCAGGCAGTGTGGTTGTTGCACCCTCGTGTGAGTAGAGCTGCTTTTAGGGCTGTCTACCAAAACTTTATACGTGGCAAAGGTCAGCTTTGACTTCTAACTGGTTAATTTTATGCTATTTGAATTTTACCTCAATTAAAAAGCACTAAGATTTTGTTACTGGATTTGATATTCAGTGATCACATTTCCCTTGGGTCAATTCCAAGGCTGTAAATCTTTACAGAAGCAGACTGCCATATCTTCTACTGAGTGGCTGGTGAGTGCTAAGTGTTGATCTTTAAGTTAGCAGCTGAGTGCTTAAGTACTGAGCCATCAGGACTCATCATCCTGATAGTATGCACAGTTCCAAATGATTTAAACTCTATTTGGTTTCTTCATCTACTTTTCAGCACTTTCAGACCATGCTGAAGTCTAAACTGAATGTCCTCACCCTGAAGAAGGAGCCTCTCCCAGCAGTCATCTTCCATGAGCCGGAGGCCATCGAGCTGTGCACCACCACGCCGCTGATGAAGACTCGGACCCACAGTGGCTGCAAGGTATGTGGCTGTGGCCAGCAGAGGCCCTCCTGGTAGGACAGACAAAAGGTCATGTGGTTGTAAGACTCGTTTCACTATGTGTGGTAACTGTTTATTTATTTGGGTGAAACTATACACAGCCACATACATTTTAACACTTGCCACGTGTACAACTCAGTAACATTGATGATACTGTTCAGGTTGTGCAAACATCTTCACCATCCTTCTTCACCATTGACTTACACTCACTGCCTCCTAAGTTTCTTGTCTAACCTTTTGAGTTGCTCTTGACAGTCTGACCTCACATAGATCATTCTTTAAAAGAGTACAATGCTCAGGGCAGATATACTGTCCTTATTAAGATAAACTATTTTTTGGTTCAATGAAGACTTCAAGGGATAGTTTTTGTTTAACGTTTAAAGAAGATGTTTTCAAGACAGTAGTTTCAGAGGGTTCATACAGACTTAATGGCTCTAGAAAGTCTGGATACCATGGAGAATTTGAAATTTTGTTGCACATTCTTCCCCCTTTAGATCAGGAAGAATCTTTGACCAAAAGGATCAGTAATGGTAGCTGGACACCACCCAGATCTTCTGCTCTGTTGGCAGAGGAGGCAGTTTTTAGGGTCGTATTTTGAGAGACTTTCCAATCAGTTGGTCTAATATTGTTGCTCAGTACTTCTGTTCTACCTCCTAGCTTGCTACATGGTGCGGGCAGTCTTATAAGCTAGCAAACAACCAGCCAAGGTACAACTTAGGGTTTCATTCACCTGGAGCAGATAAGGAATAAGAAGCATCAGGAATCAGATGAGGAAATGGATTGAGGATCTGATTACTGCCATAAACAACTGGCTCCTTAGCCCTGAGACCAGAACTGATGGTACCTGGCTACCATCAACATGGTAACTTTTTTAAAAAATGAAAATATAAAATGACTCAAAAAATAAGTTAATTGAGCAATGATAGTATGGATTCATTTCCTGCTTTTCTTAATGATACAGCAGTCTCCCTCATTTTTTATCACACATTTAAGACATAGATTTTAACATATGTCAATAAAATGGTATTCAGTGCACATTTCTGTAACCTTACAGAACTTTGGGCTTTAAGGAAAAGTTTAAGAAAAATATTTTCTCTGTAATGATCATTTCTTTGTTTTCTCAGTTTGAATAAAATAGCTCTTAGAGAATGGAACAAAAAGCCCTCAAGTTTCCCAACAGTTGTCCTCTGTGAGTCCTTTGGGTGTAATTTTGCTGTTTTGCTTTGCTTTCAGCTCTCAAAGTTTATACTAATATTCTTGCCTCTGAATCCAAAGAAAAACATTTTTCATTTATGTAAACTGTGATGCTGACGTGAAAACAAAAGTAGAAATGAAATGTATAATTTTGGTCAGCTCTTGGATTCTGTCTGAAATGATATTCTTTGTCACTTGAGCTGGTAAATGTGGTAATCAGCTTAGAGGTAACAAAGGAAATATGTTTTATGCATACTTTGTCATCCAAAATTTGTTCTGAGTAGTGAAAATAAAATAAGGGATAAAAAAACGCAGAAAATGCATGTTTGCATATGGATTTCCTTTTTAACCTGTGGATACAATCCTTTTGTTACTGCTTTATTTCTTTATTGCATCCTAAGTTAGGGGAGTAGAGATCCATCAGTCTTGCCTGACAGAGTAATCCACCCTCTCCCTGTTACTGTTTTGTTGAGTCGATTTCTCCTCATAGTGACCTGACGTGTGCAGACTAGAACTGCCCCGCAGGGTTTCCTAGGCTGTAATCTTTACGGAAGTGGATTGTCAGGTCTTTCTGCTGAAAAGCTGCTGGGTGGGTTTGAACTGCCAGCCTTTCATTTAGCAGCCAAGCTCTTACTGCTGCACACCCAGGGTATAAGTGTGGTCAAGTTGGAGCCTCCAGCAATGGTGAGTGACAGTGGTGTGCACAAAACCTCAGGCACATTCATTCTTCCCACAAATACTTGCTGAATGCTCATGTCTGCCAGGCATGGGCAAGTCTGAGCAAGACCGACCAGCGTCTTTATGGAGTTTAACTGCTGGTTGGGGAAGAGTAAGTGGCAAATACAGCCGACAAGCAGTGACTGGTGGGAAAGCCAGTCTGTGAGGAACTTGCGGAAGAATCTTTCAGACGGGAGGACAAACCTGACTGAAACCACACCAGCTGCTGCCAGGTTGATTCCAGGTAATGGCTACCCCATGCGGGTTGGAGTAGAGCTAAGTTCCACAAGTTTTCAATGGCTAACTTTTGGGAAGTAGTTTGCCAGACCTTTCTTTTGAGGTACCTCTGGGTAGGTTCAAACCACCAACCTTGAACAAAAAACAAAAGCCAAATGCACTACTGAGGAGTCGGATCTGACTCAGCAACCGCTCCTTGGGTTTCCGAGGTGGTATCGCTACGGAAGTAGATTGCCCAACCTTCCTTCCGAGGAGTGGCTGGTGGGTTTGAACTGCCAGCCTTCTTGTTAGCAGTGAAATGCCTTAGGCACTACACCACCAGAGTTCCCAACCTTGAACAAGGTGTGCTAATTCCCTGAGGTGGAAACAGGCTTGATATGTTTCATAAGAGAAAGGAATAGTTTGATGTGCCTGGGATGTTGAGAAAATTTACTCCGAGTGGTGGACTCAGGCAGAAATTTGGGAATGGAGAGTCTCGTGGTCACCTTCATGAGTTTGGATTTTGTTCGCATTGTGATGGCCAGCCCTCAGAAGGATTTAGGCAAGTGAGTTAGTTACATGCCATCATATTTAAAAAATGGTTTTAAGAAAAATGTGTGCAGTGTTACAACAGCAGCGATGGCTTGATGTAGCCTAAGTGATCATGCCTGCCTTCTGTGTAGCAGGAGGGAATCCTCGGTGGCTTAGGCTTATTAGCAAACATTAGTTAATTACTATTCATTGACACTCCTCGGAAGGAAGGTTAGGCAATCTGCTTCCATAGTGATACCACCTCAGAAACCCAAGGAGGGGTCACTATGAGTTGGTCCGACTCGACGGCAGGGAGTTTGGTTTTTGGTTTATTCATTGACATACCCCTGGTCCGTGGAACTGTGCTGGAGGGAAGACTGACTTTGCTAAGGCAAACTTCCAAAGAGTGGCTGCCGTTGGCTGAGCTTCAACTGGACAGTCGATCGATAGGACTAGTCTTTGGACCTATTATGTTGAAAACTTTTCATTCATTAAAAATTTTAAGGAATTATAAGAATATTCATTACATTTGAAAGTGACAGGAGATCAAATCTGGTTATCAATTCTTTAGAAGATTCACGAAAGTCATTTTGGATCTTCTTTTTGTTGGGGAAGATTGGTCCCTCAAAAGATGGTTCTTGCTGTGCAGGCATGAGGAGAGTCTAGTTGGAAAAAGTCTACAGAGTACATTTAAAATGAGAAGGAGTGAAAAAAAAAGTTATAGAAAAAAAGACCTAGGAATCCAATCCTGATGTGGAAGAAAAAAAAAAAAAATACGTACATACAGATACATAGTAAGTATTGTTGGCTAGTTGACTGCCGCTCATGACCTAATGAGTAACAGAATACCATGTGGCCTGGTCCTG